AGACACATCGATTGGTTGCCTCCCACAATCGCCCTGATCGAGATGGCGACCAAACCTGCAACCCAGGTATGTGTCCTCGATCGGAAATCGAACCCAAGACCCTTTGGTGGGCGGGGCCAACACGCTAACCACTGAGCACACTGCCCCGGCCTTATTTGTTTTCTTATTGAGATGTAATTCTCAGACCATAAATTCACCCTTTTAAGCAGGCCATTCAGTGGTCTTTAGTATACTCACAAAGCAGTGCAATCACCAGCACTACCTAATTCCAGACACCGGGGTCACCCCCCAAAACCCATTCCCATGAGCAGCCATTCCTCACTTCCCTTCCCCCAACTGGAATCCCACAGCAAGTGGCCTCTGATCTGGCTTCTCTCACTTAACAAGTGTTCACGGTTCACCCCTGGGGTAGCAGTGTCCAGCCTTCCGTCCTTCCACTGCAGATTGCTAAATGAGTGTCGATTCCTCCAATACAAGACTGTAGACGAGCAATTTCCAACCACTGCACCGCAAGAATTTTTAAAATATGCAACATCTGACTATTTAGTCGGGGGCACTGACCTCTTTTCTCTTAGACTGTCAAATAAAAAAATGCCAACAGCCAACACAATAGCTGCCTGGAGTGGATGAAGCAAAATTAAACCTATTTCTTTGTCAGATGGGCAAAAAGTACATGTTTTGGTGTGCCGCAGAATTTTCATCCCATACGTGCCATGAGGTAAAAAAAGGTTGAAAATCACTGCTATAGACCTGGGAGAATTTAACATAAAGAGAGAAATATTTGAAATAGCATCGTAACAAGGAAAAATAACTTACTTGCACTGGGCATGAAAATACTTGATCAGATTCTGAAGTAAATCCACGCCCTTTTTAATCTTGATTTCATTGACCTTCAGCAGATACTGTTTAAAAAACAACAACAAAGGAATGTCACAGGTCGGCGAGAGCCTGAGCTCAGCAGCAGCGGAGCACAGACCACCTCTTGCACCTCTGAGATCGTCCGCTGTGGGGGAGCTCGCGGTAGAGACTCAGTATTTCCCGGGTCCACCGCTAAATGCTCCTTTGGGGTTGCTGCCCTGTGGACTATCAGACATACAGGGAATTAAATGTGTAAGCGCCAGGAACTCCTGGTAATGACACAGTGACCTTGACCCGAGAGGAGAGGTTTCTGCTCTAGCTCCGAGGAAGAATGAAGATGGGCTGAGCGAGCGGGACCTACCCATAGTGCACATTCCTGTCCCCCGCCTCCCACCCCAGGTCCCTTTCTCTGGGCAGCTTCCCCTAGGACACTGACTGCTAATCTTTTGTAGGTGAGACTCTTGTCAGCACGTCTCTAAACCTCAGGCACTTCCCTGATACTTTAAAAATAAAGTGTGACTGTTATAAAATCCAAATTTTAAATGGAAATGAACTAAAGCCGTTTTTAACTTGGAGAATTCATTAACAAGTTGGAAGACATCAGGAGGCCCCAGGGATCCACAAAACCAGCATCAGGAAACACACCTGTGCATTGCTGAAGGTTTACAGAGAACAAAGGCCCCATAAGTTCCCCGTCCCCCCACTGTCAGGATATGGCAGAAAGGACCCCAAGGATGCGTCATCTGAGCCTGGATGGCCCGAAAGCGCTGGGGGCCTCCGCTGACCACACAGGGCTCTCGGCCGCGGCCTGGGAGACTCACGGCCAAGTGCTCCCCCAGGTCTGTTCCGCAGCCCAGTGGAGAGGGGGCGCTGGCCCGAATCAGCCAGCTACAGCCTCCCCTTCCGCCTGTACGTCTCCTTCTCCCTCCTTCAGTTTGGTGTAAGTTCAGTGTTATTTGAACAAGACGCTTGGCGTGCACCCAAGCGGTCACGTGATTAACAACCCTGAGCAACGTGTCAAACTTGACAGTGTGTGTGCCCTTCGACCTACAAATTCTATTAGCAGGAACTCACTCTAAGGCGGTGACCACAGAAGTTTACAAAGTAACAAAGATGAACAGGGAAGTGGCGCATCTGTACCGACAGATACAATGTAGCCACTGAGCCAACAAAGCAGAGACTCCGGCACAGACAGGTGCCCGCACGACCCGCGGGAAAATAAGTCCCAGAGCATCGGCCTCAGAGGACCACCCGGTTTATACAAATCGTGTCTATAGCGGACATGGCAGGACGTGTGAAACACGTTTAGTTCGATGTCAAAGGGGCTGTCTTTCGGAAGTAAAGTTTGGGGTGATTTTTATCCCCCAAAAATGTACACACGCTTTAACAGCTGATAGCTCAACTGATGTTTCTTTTTCATATTTAACCCATTAGAATTAATAATTAGTCAAAGCGTGTATACATTTTTTGGGACACCTTGTACGTACACGTACATGTATATGTAATATATAATTTATATATTAAAATATATACTTTATATTGACCAATATTTAAAAGTATATATTATTTTTATAGTAAGAAGAAAGCAAGACAGGATCTCTCCTATCTTCTGCATTCACATGAGCCCTGAGTGATACTGAATTTCTTTATAAAATTCATTCTGAAGAAAAAATGGTCCCCGTCTTTCACATAAAAGCCTGAAAGCCATTTTTCTCACTGATGCCGGGCAACTGAAAACGTGTCACACGCGAACGTGCCCGGCCTTTACGAAGCTTGAGGGTGTCAGGCTGGGGCAACGGCTGAACCGCTGGAAAACGACTTTCACGGCAGCAGCCCTTCGTTTTCAGATGCTGGGTTCTCGCGGGGAACGCTTTCCATTCGCTCTTCCCTCCCCACGGAAAGTCCCTCCCAGCCCGGTCTGCGTGGCCGACACCTCCATCCGACACCCACCGTCAGACTGTCCCCCGGAAGGGCCAGGTCCCCGCGGCCGCGCCTCACCTCGCACATCTGCAGCTGGAAGAACCTCCGCTCCTTCTCCATCTCCTCGGCGATCTCGGCGCCGCTGATCTCCGTGCGGATCATGCCGTGCAGCCTGGCGTGTTCCTTCTTCTCCTTCTCGATCTTGGTTCTGCGGGTGCAAAGGGCGGGGGAGGCGGGTGCCGTCAGCCCGCAGCCTGCAGCCCACACGGCGCGCGGGGCAACGAGCCCTCACCGAGCCTTCTACGCGCAGGGCCCCTTCGCTACCCGCAAGGAAAACGCGGCTGGTCACGGAAATGTCAAACTTGGCCTTTCTGTAGAGAATTTACTCAACAATCCTTCCTAAGCACCTACTGTCTTCCTAAGCACCTACTGGGTGCCCGACCTGGGTCGGAGGCAGGTGGAGATGGAGCAGTCAAGGGACAACCCTCTTGCTTTCTGGAACCAAGGGCACTGGTGTCACAGAGGAACACTGACCCCCACGAAGGGCCGGCGGCTCCCCCAAATCACCAGGGAGATGGGGTCCGAAAAATGGTGCCTGTCACCAGCAGTGATAAAGCGGGGGGGAAACTGGCCTCCACTTTCTTCAGTGAACTTCCCTGAAAATGACGCCCTGTAACCATTTTGACATTATAACCGGGGCAAGGAAAACGCTTGTTTAAAGGGGGTAGTTAACATCGCGGAGCTGAGACACCGGGTACGAAAACGTCGGGCACCGTAACAAACCACAGCAGCACAGTTCTAGGTGAAGTCTTCCCTGGATCAGGGTTTATCTAGACCATACGCCATAAAAGCTGGGTTTAAAATCAAAATCTCAAAGTACCTATGTTTATTTTTTTAAATATGTTTTTATTGATTTCAGAGAGAGGAAAGGAGAGAGAGAGAAACATCAATGATAAGAGTCACTGATGGGCTGCCTCCTGCACGCCCCGGACTGGGGATCGAGCCCCCAACCCGGGCCTGTGCCCTGGTCGGGAATCAAACCGTCATCCCGGTTCATGGGTCGATGCTCAACCACTGAGCCACACCGGCTAGGCTATGTTTATTTTTTTAAATGGAAACACTCACATTTTGGTTTCATAGTCCTTCCAAGCTTTATCAAAAGGCTTTTTCAGATCCTGTAAACAGAGAGGCATAAATCAAACAGGGCTGATTATCAACATCCAGACAAGATGCATTTGCTTATCCTGGACTAGTCCTGAGGGGAGCACTGATTTGTGTGACAGGTGACACCTATGATCGTATGAAAAATAAAAAACTCAGAGTACAGGTTGGCACTTGACTAGTGGTGGGGTCCCCTGTTCTTTCTTTTTAAAAATTTTATTTTTGAATAAGTAATGCCCACAGGGAAAGGTGAGAGAGAATCCTTTCCTGGACTCGTCACCCAGATGTAACAGGTATTAATTCATCTTGTTTCACCCACACCCAACCCTCTCCTAGGATTATTCCAAAATTAAACCCAGAAAGACACAACATTTAACCTACAATTATTTCACTCTCTCTCTGACTCTTTCTGTTAACACAGGGATCTCCCCAATGATTACAGAAGCCAGCCACCCTCTCCCAACGTCTCCCGGTTCCTCTCTCCTGCCTGGAACTTAGGACCTCGCACTCGGAGAAAATCTGGCTCAGAAACGTCCTGAGCTACCAGAAATTCTATCACAGTCCCCATCCATTCACGTTCTGTATAACAGGGCTCTTTAGGGAAAGTGAATGCTTTTCATGGGGCAGGGCTTATTTTTTACTATTTTTTGGCTCCTCATTGGCCTTATGACAAGGACTGAGCTCCACAGCCTGGCCCTAAGGCCCTCCAGTCACCGGCCCTGCCCACCCCGTAAGCCTCACCCCCACTCCGCCGAATCACGGCTCCAGGCGACACTAGAGCCTCACGTCCATACACCTGCGTGTTCCTCCCTCTGCCTCGTGGGCCCTTCCTTCCCGTTTTCCTGTCTAACTTGGCCGATGTGAACTGGGCCCCAGAAGGACAGTGGAACGACTCCTGGGTGTCCAAATGGCTCAGCAGCCCGGTCCCCCAGCCCTGACAGCTCTCCCAGCACCGTCTGGAAGGAGCCACGGAGGCCAGGCTGGGCTTCCAGATGTGCCCAGATGTGCCCTGGGAATCCCATGCAGATCCAAGCAAAGCACTCGGCCTCCGAAGAGCTCAGGCACATCTGTTTGTGCCAAAGCAACCTGGTGCTCAGCAGCGGGCACCCACACACCACCGGAGCCCCGCTGTTCCCGCTCCCACACTCGTGAAACTCCGCGCCCGTGTGTGCGTGGCCTTCCTAAGCCTCGGACATCCTCTGGAGGACTGAAAACGCAGCCGGCTCGAGCCTCAGTGGTCAGACTGTCCCATCAGGAAACCATGTCCCTGCGAGGACCCAGTTCCCAGGGGTCGGTCAGTGACACGCTGGCTGGGAAACCAGACCCGAGACCAGAAAACGCTCTGGGTTTCCCCAAGAGCCGTTTCCTTCCCTGCAGGTCCCCCTCCGCCTGCCCCGCGCAGAGCACCTGCGGGCGCCCAGAAAGCCTGTGAGTGGCCACTGTCAGGGCTGAGAGCGGCCAAGGGACCCCACCCGCGGCAGCCGCCTCGATGGGCCCACGAACACCGCCCCCGAGCAGGGTCATCATCCGTACGTACCCCTTTCACTCCCTTCAGGTCCCCCTTCAGCAAGCTGTCCAGAGGGAAGGAGATGATGTTGTTCATGTTCTGAATCTGAAAAACAACCAGAAGCGATAGTTTCCTTTGCGATAGAAAGTTGGACGGCAAAGGCGAGAGACGGAGGCGACCCGCCCTCGCTTCGAAGCCGGCCGCACGCGTACGAAGGCCTTACCCGTTCCCGCGAACGAGTGGATGCCGAACGACAACCGGCACCCGTTTTCCAGTGACTGCCCACCGTCGAGTTTGTGAAAAGACAACCGTTACGGCGAAGGAGAAAACATCTCAAAACAGCCCACGCGAGAACCACGTAAAGGCGCCGGAGGAAACGGGGTAGCGTGTCCTGCTGTCGGGCCTCCAAGCGGGGCCTGGGCCGCGCTGGGCTCGGTTCCCGGCCCCCAGGCCCCAAAGTCCGCAGCACAGCCCCCGACGGGCCCTGAAGGAAAGCAGAACCGAGGGGCTCTGCGGCCTAAGAATATGCGTGCACGTGAGTGTGCACACGTGTGCATGTGCGCGTCTATGTGTGTGCATGTGTGTGCACGCGTGTGCACGTGTGAGTGTGCATGCGTGTTTCTGGGAAAGGAGACAGAGAAGAGAAGTAGGGGTCTTGAGGTCCCTGTTCTCCTGGAAGCAAGAAGGCAGGAGGCTGGTGGCCTCGCCAGCTGTCACCGTGGATTACGTCGAGCCGCAGCAAGGCCCCTGACGCCGGGAGGACACCCAGAGAAAGCCGGGCACCCGCTGGCATCTGAGCAGAGAGCAGGGCACAGAGCTGCAGTCAGAAGGGATGGGAGGCACAGGCTCCGCGCCTGCCCCCGCAGGGGCCTCTCACCCCGGGCTCGGCCACCCCCGTGAGTCAACACAGCTGCCCGGGGGCACCGCTGGGGTCCCGGCCTAGGTGCCACTGTGGGTCACACCACCCCCATTACAGGCCTATGAAGGGGGAAAGACAAGACTAAGAACCTGGGAATCTCGCACGTTCATCCTCACAATGGAGTGAAAAAAACTATTTTTAGTACAGTTACCTAGAATAGGAAGACTAAATATATGCATGCTCTTTAAGGCAATCTGGGATCTGATTTCCATACACCACACAGTACATTAAATGTCAAAATGGAGAAAGTAATTGACTTGAAAAATACCGCTAAGGTGTGTCGCAACGCCAGCACTACCCACCAGTCCTGCCAAATAAGTGACCAATTCCTGACTCTCACTGTAGAAATGCCTTTTTGGGGGTAACATTTGTCTTGCTTCAACAACTCAGCATTTGTCACGCACCTGGCATCGCTCCACGGCTCAGCATCACCGGCTAGGACCTGCCAGGATCAGCCTGAAAAGTTAAATTTCTAAATTCCTAAAAGCTGAGTTTAAGGCGAGGTCTCGTGGGCGACTGGAAGGATGACAAGGGAAAGGCCAGGCTGGTGAATAATCTCTGATAACACCTGGGCAAACCTCATGCAAGAAAAGGGGTTTGAAAATAGCTGAAGGCGGG